TTTTCTTTTTCCTTTGGGTATAGTTCTGTAGCTTTTTTTCTGTTTCGGGTCAAGATTAGAAGAAGGCTGGATGTTTGATTCCTTCCTTCTTCCAAAAAGAGGAGCTAATAAAGTATCTGCCTGCCTCCCAAAAATAAGGCCATCCAAATCTGTAGCATCTGAAATAAGGGTGATCTCAGGTGGAATTTCACAAATGGAATGCATCCATTTGTGTCAGCATGTTGAGATCTGAATTTTGGAGTAGTTGCCAAAAAATCTTGTACTTACTTTCCATTGGGAGATTGGGTTTACTTACTTTAAATCTTAACTGAAATATCAGAATTTAAACAATCAATTTATTTACTACAGTGTTACCTAGTTATATGATTGTGTGGCAGAACAAGATCTGGATATTTAAGAAGCTAAAAAAAATGGTAAGTCCTCTCATTAGTGGGTTTTATTATAAAAGATATTTTTGGTTAACACTGGCAACCTGTGCTTTCAAATATCATGAAGATGTTGAAGCAGAAATGAGGCATAATCAAATAGATTTTATTTCAAGCTGAAGTGCTTTAAAATAAAATATAATAGCATTGTTGAATGAAGTCAATAAATAAGACTATAAATGTTTCATGCTTAGTCAAATTTGGTAGCTTTTCTGATAGGTTTGACTTTGAGTTGTGCATTTGTCAAAATATTTTGTATTTAGTTTGTTTTTCTTGTCTGTCACTTCTGCATTCACCTGAGATATTTATCTTATTGCCTCATTTTTAATGTACCCAAGAGAAAAATAAAGTAGGTTAGTAGCCTTGTATTACAAGCATGACTGATGGATCTATATATGATCACAAAATCTTTGAGTGTTTTCAGGGATGCATCTGAAATTGGAGTTTAACAGCTCAACCGTAACTCATTCTCCAGGTTTTGGTGAAGTCTCAAATCAGAATGTAATGGTCCGTATTTTTTTTACAGGTTTACAGGTAAAACTACAATATTCAGGTACAGGAGTGCAAATTAAAAGCTGAGTCTGAGTTCAGCTTCTGCCTGTGGTAGAACAGATTTTTTTCTCATGCTGGATTAAACCTCAAAACCATCAGGCTAAAAATGAAATTTGCCTGTTGGTGAAGGCAGTATGGATCAGTGAACAGTATGAAGTTCATTTAAGTGGGAGACTACTTTCCTGGAGGCTAATCAAGTTCAGCTGGATGTGAACTGTCTGAGGACCATTGCAGGCCTTGTCTTTTGATCAAATTCTTTGGCTATGTTTCCTGAAAAATAGATGTAGTTCCTACTCAGTTTCAAAAACCTTCACAGAATATTTGAGGTGTGACTACCCCAGAGGACAAGGGAAGAGCTACAGACATCATCTATTTGAACTTCAGCCAAAAGCCTTTCACCCAGTGTCCCACAACATCCTTCTCTCTAAATTAGAGAGAGATGAATTCAATGAGGAGACTGGTAGATGGATAAGAAAGTGTTTGGGCAGTTGCTTCCAGAGGTCAATGGCTTAGAGTATTGATGGGCATTAGTGACAAGTGGTGTCGCTCAGGAGTCTTTATTGGGACCGGTGTTATTTAATACCTTCATCAAAGTGATTGAGTGCAGCCTTGGCAGATTTGCAGATGACACCAAGCTGGGTGTTGCAGTTAACACACGTGAAGGATGGGATGCAATCCAGAGGGGCCTGGACAAGCTTGAGAAATGAGCCCATGGGAATCACATGTGGCTTAGTAAGACCAAGTGCAATGTGCTGCACCTGTGTCTGGGCAGCCCTCAGTATTAAGGCAGGCTGGGGGGATGAACAGATGGAAAGTGGTTCTGCTGATAAGGACTTGAAGGTGCTGGGGGATGAGAGGCTGGGCATGAGCCAGCAGTGTGCACTCACAGCCTGGAAAGCCAAACATGTCCTGGGCTGTATCCAGAGCAGTGTGGCCAGCAGGTAAAGGAAGGGGATTTTCCCCCTCTATTCTGTTCTCCCAAGAGGCCACCTGATGTGCTGCATCCTGCTTTGAGGTCCTCAGTATAGGAAGGACTTTGACCTGTTGGAATGAGTCCAGAAGAAGGCCACCAAACTGATTAGAAGGGGAATTTCTCCTATGAAGAAAGGCTGAGAGAATCATGTCTGTTCAGCCTGAAAAAAAAAAAAAGGCTTCAGGGTGTGTGTCCTTTCATTATGTAAAGAGAATCTTCAAGAAAGCTAGAGAGGGATTTGTGATAAAGGCATGTAGTGACAGGAGAAGGGGGAAGGCTTTCAGTTTAAGTGAAAGAGAGTTGGTTTAGATTAGTTATTACAAGAAATCCTGGACTGTGAGGATGGCCAGAGAATTTGTGGGTGCCCTGTCCCTGTAAGTCTTCAAGGCCAGGTTGGGTAGGGCTTTTCAACAAACTGGTTTAGTGGAAGGTACCTCTGTCCATGGCAGAGGGGTTGGAACTAGATAATCTTTATGGTCCCTTCCAACCCAGATTGTTCTATGGTTCTCCACAAAGTCACAGTTTTGTGTCTTGCTGGCAGATACAGCTCTGATAGCCCACTGCACTCTTAGACTATATCTGTAGTTATAAATAGGTGATTGAGGGCTTGTCTTTTGGCCCTAAAAAGACTGGCATAACATGACTTGTGACAATATGGCTAAATCTATGTGAACATTTTGCCTTTGTCCATGCTGCCTATTTGAAACAGTCATGGCTTGAGTTATCTCCTGGACCATAGTCCAGGCATTGCCTGGGAGAGTGCTAGTTGACAGGGTCAAAACTCTGCTGGAGGCTGTGTTTCTAAAACACTGTGGGTGATTATAGACAGTGACTGAGTTAGTGGCCTGATCCTGCTGACTTTACCAAGTTAGGTGTAGTAATAAACCCTGTGTAAAGACTATGTTAGAGTCTCTGTGTTAAAATAATCTCCTTAATGTAAAGTTAGTAAGTGTATGCAGAAGTCTGGCTTACAGATAAGATTGTTTCTTTGTATTTGTAAGCTTAATGCATTGTGGAATATTATCCCTTGACCAGAAAGAAAGCTGTATTGGTAACCACACTGTCTTTAGATGGTTCTTATGTTCAGGTCTGTAGTGTACAGGTTGTTACTGTAGCATGGTTGGAGGACACAGAACATCTGTTACCTCTGAGCATTTCCAGCCTTTCTGCAGGCAGACAGTGACAGGGCTGAGCAAACAGAAGGTGTGCAAATCTAACCCTCCGCAGACAGTTTCTTTGAGACTTTACTCTCTTTATTCCGGAATTGATGTGTGAAAGGAGTATTTTCCAAAATATTTATCTAGTAGTGAATTTCTGAGAAGCTTATCTCTCCCAGACAGCAAACGCAGGTCTGCTTTTCCAAAGAGTAGGTGGCTGATGAGTACCTTGCAGCTTCTGGCAAGCTCTGAAGCCTCACATTAGCTACTAGATGAGAACAAAATATTCACCTCTGATTACATTTTTAATGGATAAGAAAAGTGGCTGAACTTGTTAGAAGGTTTTTTATTTTTTCCTCCCTAGGTATATTTCATGGATGTATCTTACTGTATTTGTTTAATAAAGCTTTTAAACTATTTTTTGCTTCTTTTCTGTTGCTGGTTTGGACAAAGCTCTGGTACCACTTTAATTCAACAGAAATTGCAAAATCAGAAGGAATGACTGTATGATAAATGTAATTCTTCTTTATATTGGATGATTTCCAGGAGACAGATTAATGCCAAATTATGGTGTTTTAATGATGAAAAGTACAAATATTTTCTGAAGAAATTACTTATTTGCAGGAAGTACTCAGTTCTTGAAGTCACCTGAGTCTAGGTGAAACATGGAAAAGTTTGGGTAACAATGATGTAGTCATTCGTATGTGCTAAATAGTTAGAGAGGGTAGAGCTTTTTTCCCTTCAAATTCAGCACTGCTTGTTGGACAGATTGCACATATGAAGTCCAGTGAGCTTGTTGACTGTCTCAGCTTCTGCAGGTATCAGCTAGAGTATAGAAGGAAGGTAGCAGGGATTATGTCCATGAGAAGTGCTTTGTTACTGGAGTTCCCCAAGGTGTAGTTTGGTAGCCTCCGTAATGGCATTGAGTATAGCATGAAGCCTACTGGGGATAAGTTTACACGTTCTTTAGTAGTGCCAGATGGCAGAACTGTTCAGTTTATTTGTTCACAGTTTACTGTTTAGAAACTCTGAGTGGTGTATTTTGTTAAAAAGGTGTGGGAGGGTGCCAAAGAATGGAGAATGGGGCTGATAAGAAGGAAAGGAATGGTAAGTAGAGGTAGTGTAGCAGGAATACAGGTTGGGAGGGAAGACTGAAGGGCAGAGAAGTTTGATGGAGATGAGAAGAAAAAGATTCTCACAAGGATTCAAGAGACTGAGTACGATTGCTTCATTCCAGGGAGATGCTGAAGACAAATGATCTGGATGAAAGGGAGAGTTGCTCTCCTCAGTGGTATATTCAGGGAAATTCCATAGCACCTTGCCTGTCTTCAGTTTAGACTTTATGATATGAGAAACTGAGGCAATAACAAGTAATGGGAGGTTGTAAGTTTAGGTGTCTGCATCTCCATCATTCCTCTTCATTTAATAAGCTCACTACTGCATTGCTCATGTTCCAGACTGAGATGCTTATTTGAAAAGGATTGCTTCTAAAATACAGTTTTAACTGCCCCTTCTCAAGTAGTTGTGTATGGCTTATTGCTCCTTCTTATACACAATGATACTATACATAAGTATTACTTTTATTGGTGCTTGTCTAGATTATTCTTTTTCCAGAGCCTAGTTACCTTTTTTATTGAATTATACCTTATTGTGTGACTGTTCTCCCTGATTTCACATGAGTTACTTAAGAAGTATATGTATATTGAAGAAAATGATTTCTCTGTTTATCTAGAATAAGTTTTTGTATTTCTTTAATGATAAAAAGACTCAGTTACAAGATTGCTGTGATGTTACTGAAAACTAGGTATAGATCTCTTTCTGACTCTCAAGGCTGCTGCTATTTGGAATTCTTTTCTAAAATTGCTTAATGGCATCTCTGGTTCTTTTCCATAGGCAATGTTCAGTCTCTGCATGGTTGAGAGTGAAGCTGATGAGGTGAATTTACATGGTGTCACAAGCCTTGGTTTAAAACAAGCCCTGGACTTTGCATATACTGGACAGGTATTGTACAGTTCTTCAAATTAAGAAATACAATCAAAAGCAACTGCAATAAAAATTTACTATGACCTTTTTGAAGATACTGAAAAATACTTGTGCAATGCTCAGTACAAGCTATTTTGATTTAATAGATCTTAATTTTCTTATACTGGTGGTAGATTTCTTTTCTTTAGAAAGATTGTTTAATAAAAACACTGCTTTATGTGCATCATTGTCAGGTAGGGAACCATGTAGGGCTTGCAAACCCTTTTTGTGGTTGCCTGACTATTCATGAAATCTTAATGCAAGTTGAATCTCCTTGCTAAATTATGTGTAAAGAAAAGTGTTTCCCTTATAATAAATATTTATAAACTCTGCTGTGTTTGACAAATTATATAATTGAGGGGGAAAGTAGTCTCTTACTCTCTGGACAGATGCAGTTGAGGCATCTTTGTAAATGCTTATAGGTGCTATACATCTTAATTTTGGCCTATTCATTATGGTGCTCCAGAAATTGCAGCGTGATGCCCCTTTCCTCTCTCTCTTACCAAAAAAAGCCCTCAAAACAAACAAACAAACAAAAAAACAAACACCAAAAGAAATAAAAAGGAAAAAATATTTGTGACCTGCCATATCTCCTTATCTCTGCACTGTATGCTTGAAGAATGTTGCTGTGTGACTTTGTCTCAGTACAGAGTTCATAGATAGTGGGCTCAGAACACCCAGCTATTTTTGCTTTAGACTTTAAAATTCTAGATAACCAAACTATTTCTGGAATATCACTACAGCAGTTGACTCCATTGACGCACTAGTGACGTTTATTAGTTAATTTTGAAAAGGAAAGCTTAAATCCATACTATGATATTCTGAAGAGCTGTTGGGTTATAAAAATTTAAGGCATCTGCTTCCGTACTGTGAATTGAGTATTCAGCCTTATGTGGGATTTTTGGTTTTTTGTTTTCTTTTTAAAGGAAACTAAGTAGCAATAAGAGGGGGGAAATATTATTCGTTTTAAAGGAGCTATTTTTGTCACCAGCCCAGAAAACAGTTATGCTTTAGCATTGGTCTTGGAGATTAGCACTTGAATTTCTTTGAAAAAATATTGAGTTTGGGTTGTTTTGGAAAGTGTAATTATATCTTTGATATAAATGATAAACAGAGATGCCATACTATATTAGTGCATTAGCTGAAGATCAGTACATGACTTGTCATTGGTATGCTTTTTTTTTCTTTCAGTTGAAAGCTTTTGTTAAAAAATGAGTGTGTTTGATTAAAATGAAAATGTTAGGTGCCTATACATCATCATATTAGTAATTTAAAACTATAGGTTGATTATTGAATAGAAAACTCTGGTTAAACAAAAGTATCTTTTTAAAAGATGGGTTGTAATTGATTTCTATCTGACCCATCCCATCTGCTGTGATTAGAGATATTCCCCATCTTTCTGCAAAATTCAAAGTCTAACAAACCCATGTAAAATACATTGAGAACCTCTGAAAGGGTGGATGTGGCTTTTATGTAACCCAGCAAGTGACCCCATGTTGCTTCCAGGATAGTATCCTCAGATCCCTAGGAAATATGTACCTTCTGTCATTGGCCCTTTAGAGACTTTTGAGTCTCCCATTTTCAGGCATAACCTACTCTGAGTAAGTGAGTGGTTTTCCTGAGTTAAATATAGATGTGCATGTATGTACAGCTGCTCATACATAGAGGTGATTATAAGGCAAGGCTGGCTCTGTCGTTTCTATCAGATGCACCAAGTGCTACTTTGATGCCCAGACAAATGAGAAGGATTCTGTAGGAGTTATCATGTAAAGATGCCTTTGAAGCACAACTCAGTGAAAAGTGGGTCTGAGAATTAGCAGTGTCTCATTTCCTTTCATCCTTGGAATTCTCTTCTGGCATTGTGTATGTATTGAGCATTGCTTGTATTCTGACTCAGACTGACAGAATCCGGGTGAACATTTCAAGGTAGTGAGTGGGAGTAATCCACAAAGGCTATTAATAAATAAGTGGATTACTCCGTGCTTATATCAGAGAGTCCTGAAAACAGAATTGTCTTTAGCTTGGTTTGCAAAATGTTCCTGTTTTTATAAGACAAACAAAATATTTCTCAGTAATCTGACAGTCACTCATGCCAAATATAATCTTATATTGCTCTCTTAAAATTAAAAACCATGAACTAACCTTATTTTTTTTTTCTTTTTTTTTTAATCACATTTGGCCACAATGTTAGTTCAAAAAATTGGCATTTCCCTAGGTAACACTGTGGAACTCCCTAAACTATCCATGTCTAAATAGATAAGTAATTAGTTGCAGTTTTCTTCTCTTTATTTCTTTGATAGACTACACTTGTATTTGGCACATTACACTGCAAATTGAGTGCAGCTTTCTGTGTAAACTAATATACTGGAGACATCTGGTGGAAATATTTTATATTACATTATGGCAGTATTTGGTGTCTGCAGTTTTTAAAGTTATTAAAATGAATAAGTTTAATTTTTAGGATGATCTTGGAATCTGAAATTAAACTCTGTTATCCTTGCCTCTTTTTCTTAATTTGAAATCCTCCTGTGGACTTCAAATACAACCTTCATTGTCCTGTCTACTTAGGCAGACAGCTTTGTAATTACTGTTGAAAATATTTTGCTTTATGTGAAAAACTGATTGTTCAGAAGAAAACTATGTTCCAAAACTCAAGTTAAGTATAAATAATATAACTCCAACTGAACTAATCTATTACTATGGTCCTTAATAATTACAAATAAATAAATTTTGGTACAGAAATAAATAAAAACTGACAAAAAGAATGGCAGTAGGCTTTGATTTTGTTCTTTGCATGTATGTTTAAGGTAATACTTGAATAATATAATCTTCAGCAAAAAATGTCTTAGGTATGTTTCATCTTGTCTGTAGGCATTTTACTATGTAATCCCCATATTCAGAATTGAGAGACACAACTCTTTTCCTTTTTAGTTGACTCTTTCCTGTTGTAGTTGCCATGTCCTTTCTTCCCAAGAGGGCTTTAAGGTCATTCTTTCTTTTGCCTCATAGCTGACAGTGGTAAGGCCAGGCCAGAATCTCAGTGAGTAGATTAGTCACCCTTTCTTCTCACAAGGGCATTTTGTGAGTGTCAGATGTGCCTTGGAAGGGAGATGAATCAAGTACAATCCATTTACAAACTATATGTTTTAGAATACTCATATAGCGAAGCATTTCTAGGCAAAGAGTTTGGAGCTCACAGTTCCTGCTTTCAAAATAAGAGCCTTAATCACTGCGTCAGAGACTCACGGGCACTGTTCTCTACTCTTTTTTACTACATTTTTAAATTTTTACTTGTTTGTTAGAGATATAATCTTACTTGGAGGAACGGGATAGCCACTGTAAATAGGCCAGTGTATTTGGCTGAAAAGTCAGAGGAGCACTGGCTTTAATTTGCAGTGGATGATTGTGATCCTAATTCAACCAAAATACGTGTGGAGTCCCATGAGTACTGAAGTGTTTCATACTTGGATCTTTCTTCTTTGTTAATATGTTCTGTTTTCTGTTTAGATAGAAATTTATTTGAGGACCTCAAAATGCATTATAAAAGCAAGTAATACCTGTCCTTATTTTGTTGCATTGCAGAAAGGAAATTAATTTGGGAGAAAATAATTTTCCAAAGACAGCACAGCACACTAGTGGCTTCTTAGTACTTAATACCAAATTCTCCTAAGTCCCATTTTCCTAATTGGCTGGTCTGTTTTTTTTCCCCTACTAATATTTTGTTTTTGTATCAATAGAAATTATATCTTCTTTAAATTATAATATCCTGAATGAGTAAAGTTGAAATTAAATAATTAGTGAGGGAGCCCTTATATATGAGGCTTTTTATGATCAGCTCTTTCTCCCATAGTGAATTTTGGGGTAATTTGTCCTGTGATGCCTTCTTAGCCCAAGGTTAACACAGCCTTACTTCCTAACTATGGCATATTAAAATGTTTCCCTGTATTAAAAGCCACATACAAAGTTGCACTTGAAATGATTGAAAAATAGGCTTTAAACTTTCTGTTATTTACTTATTTAACAGGTTTTCTTTTACTCACAAAATGCTAATGTAGCATCAGCATTTCCATAAAGGTAATATGGGTATATTATTCCAGTTAGAAATCTAGAACTTTATTTTATTTCCAGGTATGTTGCTCCCAATATTACTTCAATGCATTACCAGTGTGAGTCCTATTTAACTATTGCCTTTGCTTTGTATTCAGTTAATTTGAAACCTGTCATCCTCTTAACAGCTATTATTACTTTACCAAACAGGTTTTAGGAATTGGTAGAGTACCATAATGTGATTTTTCACATTTGCACGCACAAACGCCTGATTAGAGTATTATCTTACAGCTTCTTTTTGAAATTGTTCTTTTAGCTTTCCTATTTATTTAACAAAAAATATGAAGGAGTAAAATATCTTCTTAGATAGTAAAGAAATAGTAGAAATAATTATTTTTTCTAAGTACAACTGTTTTTCCTTACAATTTCTTTGATTCCTTTGTAGAATCTTGGCTCTCGTCTCTCATCAACTCTCCTCCTCATCTGATGCTGACAGTTTTTCTAGTGATCAACCAGTATTTTATCTGCCATTTTTAGTTAAGACCAGAGTAAGGCAGCTGTCAATATCTTAGTGCCCCTTATTGTGTTAATTCTCTCTTGTGGGTGGAGGTGTATTGCAAAGCTGTATTGTGATGGTTGATTTTCTTGGGTAAGTGACCTACTGCATCCTGTGTGCAGCAGTTCCACTGGCTGCTTTTCGATTAAAATGATTCAATTAAATTACTTGCTGTCCCTAGCAAAAGTGATTTCAGCTCTTTTCTGCTGGGGACAATATGTCAAAGTCATGGATAACTGAATACAACAGGTCTGTGTCTTATTACAAATACTTAATATAATTTTTCAATGCAATTTCAAAGCAATATATATGTATTTATTAGTTAGATTTGGACACTTCCATTTTCACTTCTCTCAGGATAATCTTGTTTCTGTAT